TCTCCATTAGATAAAGATAAACTCCCTAAGAGCTTTATCCTTATCCAGGCTGAGGTCCTTCCTCATTCTGGGACTCTTGTCCCTTATCCGCTTATCCCGGACTCCGATATCTTCGGAGATAACCTCGTCCTAGCCGGGATCACCTCGGAGTCACGACCACGACACGTGGCACCTCGGCTGACACGTCGGTGTCACCTTGGCCATGTGTTGGTACTCAGAAAATATGTCCCCACAGATGTTGGCAAAAAAAAAAAAAAAATTGAAAAAGGTGTGGAAACAAAATGAAAATGATTGATGGATCAACAGGTATGATGAGTTGTTTTGGGAGAGTGAAAAATCAAAATCCCAAAATCAATTTTCCTTGCTAGATGGAAAGAAAAACATGAAGGATTGTGTGTTACTATTAAATTTGTGGAGGAAAAAAAAGAGATTAATTTTATTGGTAAGCAGGGTTAATTTTAATCGCAAGTAAATTCTAAATTTTGGTTACGTTATGAGGTAAGTATGATTAGTTCAATAACAAGTATGATCACATTATGTGTTAAGTATGATTAATTTCTTTAGTAAATTAGATCCTGAAAACTACTTTGTTTTCTTAAAAACTAACCTATTTTTGTACATATGATTTTGGGTATTAACAATTGAATTTTTCTTTATTAGACGACTAAAATTACTAGCTTGGTATTGTAAAAAAATGCACTAGAAATTCTTAACTCTTCAACTATCATAGATTAGCCCATTAACCAAAGACTGGAAATAAGAAGGAAAATCCCTGGATTTCTTGATGTAAAAGTAGCAATATTTTTTGATTGAATTCTTACTATTGTCATTAGTAATGAAGAAAAAGCAGCAGTATTTTTTGATTGAATTCTAACTATCGTCATTAGTATAAAAAGAAAAAGATTAATTTCAGATATTTAGTTAAAAAAATAAATGGTATATTTTTAAAATCATCTTATTATTTATTTCTTATAAACAAATACATGGAAATTATGTCTACAATTATCAGATAAATATAATTTTTTAAACAATAATCTAAATATAAGTAGATACTTAAAAAATGAACCATTTATGTTATCAAATTAGAGCTCGTGATGGGCTTACAAACCAAAATTACATTGGAGACAAGCCAACATCTTTAGAAAAAAAAACATCCATCTATGAATTGGACATGAAATTTCCTTATTGTGGGCTCACTTCAGACGAGTTTCAGTAATTTAAACATTTCAATTTGTAAGATCTTTAAAAAAAAATTATCCTTACAAAAAATATATTAATCGAACCTCGATAATCACATAATTGAATTACAAAATAATATATTAAAAAAAGAGAACAAATAGTCTCTTCTTAAAATCAAGCTTTGTGATCCATTTTATTCATGCATTATTGTTTAACTTGATCACATGATTACTGATATTTGATTAATTTTTTTTTTATATTGATGAGCTAACAAATTGGCCGTATAAAATGAGCAATTCAAATTACTAAACCAAGCCCATGTGAACGCGTGATTTTATTTACTCCAAAAAAATCATTCAGTATGCCCAATTTCTTAGTACTTCCTATTAAATTATTTAGAATTATAATTTACTCTCAATACATTCTAATTTTTTTCACAAATTACCCTTCCACATAAAATCATAATTTATGGTACATCTAAATAGTCAACAGATCAATTCAAAAAAATTCCTCCATCTCTTCTTAGCTATGGGTCTCTCTCTCTCTCCCCCTCTCTCTCTCTCTCTCTATATATATATATATATATATGTGTGTGTGTGTGTGTATGTATATATGATATATATCATATACGGATTTGATTTGAGTCTCTTGAACTTTGTTGAGTAAGCTTTATTTTTCATCAAAGATTATGCTCGCTCTCCACAATTGGGTACTTTTTTTTTTCTCTCTCTCTAGTGGGTTTTCTTGGTTTTTTCCCTCATGATGATTCTAATGCTTTCTATGGCTTCATTTTTTTAGATTGTTGTTTTGTGAAGTGGTTTTTCCATTGAGAGATCAACATGTTTCATTCTTTTTGAAAATCGCACCATAAAGATTAGAGGATAACTGACGAGATTGTTCTAGGGTTCTTTTTTTGGATGATAATGGTGAGTTTTGGTGGGATAAATTGGATTTTTGGTAAGAGAAAGAAGATAAAGTGAAAATAATTAAAATTTGGAGAAGAAGATGAAGAGACTTGAATATAGGGGAATTGGGGTGGCTGCTGTGCGAGAGTGCACAGCAGCCACTGCTGTGTAGCCAATTGGGCCCTTTTCGGGGCCCATTTTGATAATTCGAACCGTTCACACTTTAGAATACATCAAGTAGAATATACCTGTAAAAAATAAAATTAATCAGATATCGTTTACCCATTCATCCACTCACATTTGTATTCATTTTAATACTTTAAATTACAATTGTTATTTATTTTTGTAGATACAAATGTGGGTGGATGAATGGGTAAACGATATCCGATTAACTTGATTTTTTATAAGTATGTTCTACTTAATGTATTCTAAACTGTGAACGATTCAGATTCTCAAAATGGGCCCCGAAAAGGGCCCAATTGGCCGCACAGCAGTGGCTGCTGTGCACCCCCGCACAGCAGCCACCCCAATTCCGAATATAGGGTGTACCATGAAAGTGAAAAAAAAAATTTGGATTTAATGTGCATTGTCCTTATTAGTAAATTTACATTAAGATATAATAGAAATTAAAATTTTAATTAGGCGTACTCAATTCCTATTTGAGTGCAAATAGAATGCCCCCAAACTGTACTACTCTCCACATGTCTTAAAAAGTAAATTATTTAAATTACTAACATAAATGAGGCCACAACAATCAAATTGCACTAAACAATCTAAATACTTAGGAGTCATTTGGCAACTTCCCAAAAAATCGTTTTTTGACTAAAAAAACTAAAAAATATAAAGTCATTAATTAATTTTCCATCAATTAAAAAAAAAATTAAATCACAGCAACTTCTCAAACACATGTTAATAATTTTTTTAATTCCTATAATAAAAATAAAAATAAAAAGAGAAAATTACCATTCAAACCAAATTTTAAAAATTTATGATTTTAATTATTAATATTTATAATAATTATTATTTTTTTATAATTTTTTTCTGACACCATGTATAATTTCCCCAAATAATAAAGCAATCAAAAAAAAAAAAAGTTATGTTGTAAAATTTTGTTTGTGTTCTCTGTACCTAAACTTAGTCGTAAGGGAAAGGCTGACTACAAAGATGCGACCACACCAAACCACCTTAACACCCATCCACACAAACACACTCTGATCTCACAAAAAACATGTCCACTGCGAGTTTGAGTTCCAATTCCAATTCCAATTCCAATAGTAGAGATAAAAGCTCCAAACTCACCGAAAAGAACTTTTCGATTTGGAGGATATCCTAAAGAATGAGTATGTTTGATTCAAGTTCTACATTGATCAAACACATGTCCTACAAGATTGGAAGAAAGTCTAACAATCTATCAAGGAAGGTATATCTGAAGAATCCCTCTATCTACTCATGTCTATGGCTTGTCATTTGCCGAACCCTGAAGATGGTTTGCCATTAATGGCTGACCATTATCCCAATTCCACTCTCTCTTCCCAAACAAAGCTCCGATCGACCAATCCCATCAGGAAGGTACCTCGAATTCAACCTAGTCGCGAAGAAAATCAAGGTTGAGAGGACGTGAGATCAATGGATCATATTGCAAAGGGCTTTTTGTCTTTTTACAAAACGAGCTCTTTCACTGTTAAGTCTTTCAAACCCTCAATTCGTGAGCTTTCAGTGATCAAACATGGACTCTCTTCGTGTGTTGACATTAAAAACACTTTGGTTAATCATGTTGCATATGCAGACACTCGATATCAATATGATTCGGACCGAACCAAGTTGGGACTTTTAAGGTTTGTGATTGTACGGCACCTAGAGCTCACTGGGATGAGTGCATACCAAATGTTTGTTGAAGTGATTCATAAATTGACTCTGATGACAACAGAACCGTTTTTGGCTCGGTTGCAAATACATGAAACTGAAGATTGTATTGATGAGATAGGTAGAATATGCATGAGTTTTGACAAGCCATGCCACAAACAAGGCTCTATTCCATCAAGATTTTGGAGACATGCTCGAATAGTAGATCCAAGTTATTTCCTAAAACTGCAATCTAAAAGCAACATACTGGCTATGGCCATTTTATCTGAGTTGTGTTATAGATATTGTCATACTGACAATCATAACATGGTTGTCCTGGCTAACCAAGATCAGATTAAGAAAGATGCAACTAAATTTGTTGACGATTTCGAATTCGATTATGATATGTTGATCTTTGAATCAAATACCAGCCCTATCCAGAAGATGTACATCTAGGAAAAGTATGCAGTCTTGAAAAGGCAAAGGACAGCAGCAAGTACAGACACCGTGGATGAGGCAATGGATGCACAGATAGAACGGGTTCCCTTTGCGCCCGAAGAGGACTTCCCTCACATTGGCATATAACTGCGTTAATCATTGGCATATAGTGGTTGTGTGTTTTCAGTATTGGAGATATGATGTTTACTTCTTGTTGATTAATATGTTTGTATTGGTTGTGTGTTTTCAGCTATTGTAGATATGATATTACTTATTATTAATTAAGACGCATGTATTTGCTGTGTTTTCAGGTATTGCTGATATGATACTAGTTATTGTTAATTATATGTATGGATTATTGGTTGTGTGTTTTCAATAGACCTGAACCTTGTTTCATGTCAGACAAATTTTCAAAATAATTCTATTTAGGTTTTTTTAATAAATTCAATGTTAAATCAGAAACCAAATTTGTAAGACACCATGACATCAATACTATCAAGACCGCTGAGCATATCAAGTGGCATCTAACACTTTTAGTAGTCTCGAACCACATCTAAACAACTCACCCGAGGATGCATTAAGCAGTGGATCCACTGCCCCAACACAAACAAAGAACGAAGTCGGGAAAAACGCTCACTATATTCTATATTTTCCGATGTGCTTTCGATCAATAGGCAGTGAACTTTTTCTGGCCACCTTGAGCCCTTGCACAATGTTTTTCTCTATCGCCTTTAAAAGTATAATTTCACACATCAGGTTGTGAATATGGAAACTATAAGGCTTTCCACTGAAACCTCTCCGTGCCACTTGAACCAGGCTCCTATTGAATAGCTCATTGAGGCAACTCTCTACAACTTCTTCTATTGTCTTTTCGTTAGTAGCATTCACAAATCCTTCTGCTGTCCAAAGTCGAATTAGTCTATTGCATAGTATCTGTTGATCCTCAGGGAAAATGCTCAAAGTACAAGAGAAAAATCTTCAGATAATAAGGTAGACCATTGTAATTGAGAGAGAGTGCTTTTTTCATTCTCTCTAGTTTGTCATTGCCCTTGAATTCAGAACCAAAGCTGCGATAGAGCATTTCACATTCTTCTATTCTACTCCAATCCTTTGTAGCTAAAACACCACTTATGGCTACAATTGCAAGTGGCAATCCCTCGCATCTTTTAAGATTCGAAGAGAAATTTCCTTCAAGTGTGGAGGGCATAAGTTCTCTCGAAAAGTCTTGTTGCAAAACAACATCCAAGACTCTTTTGGGGACAAGAGCATCAAGTTATAGACATTACCCTTAGTTTCTTCGCAAAGGGGAAATATGTGCAAAACAAATTGTGAGAATGACACAGCTGCCACTATTGTTGTCAGGCAATACATATTTGATAGCCTCCCAAGCGTTAATATTCATACGTCATCAAAAACTACCACATATCTCCTTTGTTGTAGAAAATCTTTATCCAGGCATTTCAGCTTATTGATGCTCATAATTTCAACTCCAAAAGGGACTAGTTGCATGATTTCACTGAAGAGTTGTTGAATCATGTCCTTCAGGAGATCCTCAACCCTGATTGACTCAGAAACAGTGAGCCAAGCATGGCTGTTAAAATGATTCTTCACCATTGCAGCATCATAGACTTGTTTTACAAGGGTTGTTTTGCCTAAGCCTTCCATTCCCACCACGAAAACTGCTTTCAGCTAAGGACCTTCTTCGACTAGCCACCCAATCAACGATTAAATTAAAATTAGGTGTATAATAGAAGAGATAAAAATAAAAAATGGTTATTTTTATGGAAGGGTAAAATAGTCTTTGGACTACTAACGGTAATAGAGGTTAGATTGCAATTTAGTCCAAAATTATAAGGGGGCGATATGTCTATATTTGAATCATAAAGGAGTAAATTGTTCCAGACTTAAACCATAAGGGAGTAAATTGAATTTTACCCTTTTTTATTTTTAGATTTTTTAATAAGTCTTAGACAATGACTCAAGTGACTTAAAAGTAAAGTTGTCTATGGAATAAATTAATTGTTGACACTACTATTTTTTTTTTTAAATCAACTTCTCTCCAATCGTTCATCAGATAGGAGAGGTCCAGTCCGGTCTACTGTGAGCCTATCTTAGGCCCACCTTTGATTTTTAGTATGAATAATGTACTCGACAGGCTCTATAAAATGAACAATTTGAATCATTAAGATAGGTTCGAGATAAATTTACAGTGAACCAAATTGAACATTTCCTATCCAATGTCAAACTAGAGAAAAACTACTTCCTTTTAAATACATCAAAAAATATTATATAAATCTCATAGCATGAGCAAGAAGGTTGTTAGTTTCGAACTTAGCTTATGATTGTGATCATCTATGTCTTTATCCACTAAAACAACTGTAACGCTTTAATTATTGATATTTAAGGTTGTGTTTGAACTAAGAATTTGAAAGAAATTTGCAGGGATAAAGGAAAACAAAAGAGAAAAATGGAGGAAAAAAAGAAGCTTCTATTTCATTTATTTTTCTTTTCTTTTTTTCTTTTGTCTCTTCAAATTAACACAACTAAACACTGAAATCGAATTTACCTTGGAGATAATTTAAGACCAAGTTGTTTTTATAACTTTAGTAAATGTTGGATATAATAGTCATAATTCCATTTGTTATTCATGTAAGATGGTATGACCGTTATCCTCAATATTTTTTTCCCTTCTTTCTAAAATTTATACTTCATGCCATCAAAAAAAATTTAAGACCAAAACAATTTTCTTTTGATATAAGACATCTTTGAGAGTTAGCTAAAAAATATTAGGGAAAGTTACGGATAAATCCTGGAATTTGAAAAGGTGGTCCAAGTAATCCTTAAATATATTTATTACTCCGTTTGGTCCTAGTGGATGTGTATTTCTTGAAATGCCCTTGTTTTTTGGGCTGTGTGTGAAGACGGTTTGAATGACTTTTTAGCATGGGGTGTGATTGGGTGTGACGGTGGCAAAAAATGCTATAGTAGTTTTTGTTGAATTGTAATTGTATGACAGTGTGTTGTCATACTGGTGTAACCCAGCCCGGCTAAATTGGCCCGCGTGTTATGATATGGAAACCCCCAAATCAAGCAACAGTGTCGCACAATCCCTAGTTTTTTGGTGTTACCATTTTAGTGTTACTGGAATTGGGTGATTGTGTGGAATTAGGTGAGTGTGTGGATATTGATTTGGGATTCGGAGAAATACAATAGGGTTTCGAGTGAGATTGTCCTTTTTTTTTCCCTCAAATTTGTGTGTTGGAGGCATAGTGTATAGTAGGGTTTAGACGATGGTCGGTGTGTGTAAGGTGTGTTGGTGAGAATATCGACATGTGGGACAATCATCAACAGTGGCAATGGCTCACAAGTGTAAGTTTTTTATTTTTTTTTTTGGTAGTCTTGTTATGTTTTGTTTTTTTTTTTTTTTTTGTTTTTTTTTTTTTTTTTTTTTTTTTTTTTTTTTTTTTTTTTGTTTTTTTTTTTTTG